TTTCTACGAGCTGAGGAGGGCAATACTTATATATAGAAGGTGCACACCGTGTCATTCACACAAACACTAAACCCCATCACGGTGACACACGATACTGAAATAATGCAATAAGCATTCATTTAACAACATTAGATGTAAGATTAAACCCGACACAACTGATAAGAAAAAACTAAGAAGAAACATGTTATTTCAACAAAAAAACATCAAATATGAAGTGTCATGCAGGGAGTGTCTTTGGCTGGATTGTGTCAATTTACGTTTTTTCACTGTAAATTATACAATGACTTTTTATTTTTCACTTCGAAAAAACGTATTTTTAACAGTATTTTACTGTAAAATTACATTAAATGTAATTACATTTATTCACCGAATATAGTATGGAAACTTACTGTTAACCAGTTAACAGGGTTTTTACTGTAGCATTTTTACAGTCTTTTACTGTTTAAATCACAATCCTTTTTTACAGTGTATATTAGTCAAACAGTGGCATATAATGTGAAAATATTAAATGTTTTGCTAAAGTACTATTAAAAACCCTTTAAGGTTTAAATTTTTAAGAGCTCATTCTTTGTTTGGAGGACTTATGTTAATTACACATTTCAGGCGGAGTCATTCAGAATGTCTTTTTTTATTGTTTTCACTCTTTTCCGCAGGCTGGGTATGGAGAAGGGAATGATCTGAATCTCAAGGCCGGACTCTGAGTTTTTAAATGTGTCTTGTGTGCGGGAGTTTCCTGATTTTGAGCCTGTGATCTCTTTAGTAAATAATGTTGTCACTGTGGATCACTGTAAATGTACATGCACTCTAATGTTTAGTTCACTGTATAGTTGTATTTAAGCATCATGGGCTGTGAACTTGCATGACATGATGTACTTCTGAGGTCTGATTCTGTTATTTAGAGTGGTGCGGACCTAAAAATGTGAGACTGCCTTTCCTACAAGCACACAATTAATATTAAATACAATTGTTCTGTGAATATTCCACATGTGCTGTGATGTATATAATATTCTTTACACATAATTGTGTTTCAACAATTACTTGTTTGAACAGGTTTTAATGACCTTTAACAGTTTTTTTTATATGTTGGTCTTACTGTCTTGAATAAATAAATAGGTTTAAAAATCAACTCCTTTTTCTTTCTTTTTTTTATTAAACCTGTACTTAAAGTTAAAACAAAGGAAAGTTATGACATAAAATGAAGAAATATAAAACATTTCTAGCTCACTAATCAAAGCTGATCTTATAATATTTTTTATTTAAAAAAAAACTTTTATTTATTTATTTTTTGGACACAGCTGCATATACTTTTACATTATGGATGTCATTATGAATGTTGTGTAACAAAGATTGGCCTATTACTAATTGTAATTGATAACAAAATATATTTAAAATATTAAACATGAACTCTGATGACATGCTACAATTTAAAGATTCAGGTTTTGGGTGTGGTGTGCTGAATATAAAGAGAAGGAAACAAAAGACAGAACATTTGTTGATGCTGAACGTGTTCTGTGCCGAGATTTGTAAATCATTTTCTTTATGCATTCTCTATCAAATTTATAACACCATTAGTTCCTTCTGAACATTTTGGCCTCTCCACCAACCTAATACAGGCCAGTGAGATTTATGGGATCTTTTTAACCCCACTGATCAGCAGAAACAACAGCGTCATGAAGGAGAGGAAGGCAGAAGGTACAGCGTGCTGTGCACAGCTCCTCGAAGCACAATGTCGTCAAACGGGTGAAGAGTTCAGCAAGCACACATACACATTTAAATGAATGTCAGATTGACAGGAGAACAAAGGGCCGTGGGGACAGTTTCAGAACACCTCCTTCCTAAACAGCCAGTACAGTTGAACACAGAGAATGCTCAGCTGCATCAGATCGCCGCCAGCGTGTTTGAGCTCAATGCGCCCAGAACAAATAAGAATTCCTCCTGCCAAGGCTAGTGTGAAGTCATCCCTTTAAAAAGAACCATTGGGAGGAAATTTAATTGTTTTAGGCGGAGCCGAGATTTGAAACTCTGCCTACTATATGCAATATAAAATGAAAAATTTCTCCGGTTACAGTGCACTCTTTTGTTGACTGACTACATTTTTTCCCAAAATTTTAAACATTTTATCAGTTAAATTGTTATCATCTTTTTTTATTTAGTACTGCCCTTTAGAAGATACATAAGATAATTACATAATTACCTTGAGACAAAATAATAATTTAAACTGATGAGCCTGCTCTTGATCCCCAATGAGCATCAATGAACATTTACACCTTTTGTAATTATTGTGAACAATCCCTATGTATTAAGTGTGAAAAGTTGGAAATCAACATAATATACACTACTTGTCAAAGTTTGGGGTCGGTAAGATTTCTTAAATGTTTTTAAAATCTTCTGCTCTCCAAGGCTGCATTTATTTGATCAAAGTAAAAACAGTCATTTTGTGAAACATTATCACAATTTAAAATAACTTTTTTCCATTTTTAAATATTTTAAAAAGCAATTTATTCATGTGATGTAAAACGGAATTTTTACCAGCCATTACTCCAGTCTTCAGAGACACGTCAAATGTTAAAAACAGTTTTTGCTGCTTATTAGTTTTTTTTTTGTGGAAACCATGATACATTTTTACAGGATTCTTTAATGAATAGAACTTTTGAAAGAACAGCATTTATTTAAAATATATATTTTTACTTCACTGTCACTTTTGATCATGGATAAAAGTATTAATTCTTTAAATAAAACAAAAAATCTTACTGAGCCCAACCTTTTGAACATGTACGGAAAATAATAGTTTCTTTCAATGACTGCAAGTCTGATTTTTATTTTAGAACTACAAATAAACTCATAAACACGTGAACATCTTTTTTTGTTCTCATATATAGAATTGTTCTATTTCCCAATACAAAAGTCTTTGAAATTGACGTCTAAAATTTCCTCAGCACCAACTCTACCAGTGATCCTGCCCCAGGCTGGTGAGGCCCAAATGAAGCCCTTCTGCCGTCAGCACCAGATTCACATCCCTGTACTGCTAGTACTGCTGTAAAGCCTCCACGCTCTTCTGCAGGTGAGTCCAGTGCCGGCTCTGTGTCAGACTCGGGCTGCTGATCAGTGGTTCGCCACATCTGAACAGACAGGGATATAATACTTTATAAAAGTGTCATAATTTGGTTTGCTTTAGAAATGCATCAAAATGTAGGTAACCGAAAATATCCAGCTGGTTTTGGAGGGACGGAATCATTGACCAAATAAGGGATGTTTAATTACTGTTTCTCTGATGACGTGTTTTGACTGTGTCAGTATTGTGCACACAACGTGGATAAACTACAACAGGTAAAGCTGTCAGCTGTGTGGACGCTAGTCCTGGATTAACAACATGGATTTCTCGTTTTTAATCAATATGATATGGATTCTTAAATCTCAAGATCAATCTTTTAGTCTGTGATGTTTTCTGCTGATGTGTGAACTTCACTGAACATTATTTGTAGCATCTGCCAATGAGCTTTGTGTTTTGTTACTTTTAATATAAAACAATGTCTCAGCTTTCAAATTCTGTCAATTATTGGTCAATTATAATATCACGAACTACAAACAATAAATGGGTTTTTGACGCTCTTTAATGTGTCGTGACAGATCACTGTAGACGTCTCATTTCAAGCGAGTCAAACCGATGATCTCTTCCACTTTACTACTAGTTATAGCAAGAAATAAATGTGAACATCAGAAGGTGTTGAAAGAAACAGAAGAACTTACTGAAATTTATCATATCATGTAATCGCTCAATCTGTGTTTCAACTGCAAAAAACATCAATAAAACAGCTTGTAAACAATGTCACGTAATGTCATATTTACCTCAGTAAAGACATTCAATATAGGCCATTTTAACTCGATAGTCAGCTAGAAAAAATAACTCTAGAAAGGAGCATTTTGCTAAATATATTACATATTCATTATATTTTTACTTAACCTGTTGTCTTCATTCTTAAATGTATGTTTGAATAAATCAGTTTTTATTCCAGTCACCGTTTAAGCGTTTATATTTCAACAACAAATTGAAGTAGAAACATAATCATGTTATTTAAAAACAATGACATAAAAACTACATTATGTGCAATTTAAATGTTTGTACAAGTCCGTTTTGATTATCAAATACATTTGGTTATTAAATCAGATTTATTTTCCATTTTCTGTCAAGTGGATCCTGAATTTTCGGTTTTTGTTTCGGCCCAGAACTTTCATTTTGGTGCATCACTTCTGTTTACAGCATCTAAATATCTGAATATTTGAATAATTATAGAACTGCTTTCTGGGTTGATAATTTCCACTCACAGAGTCTTTAGTCTGTTCTGTATTATAGACAGGAGATCCTCCAGGCCATCTCTGGTGTGACATAACAAAATGCAAGCAGGAGGAACATCACCAGCCTCCTCGAGGGCCGCCTGGATGCTGCGCTTGTGCTCGGCGGAGATGCGGTCACTTTTGTTGAGGATCCGGATGCACTCCCTCCTGTGAGATGAGTGCTCAAGGATACTCTTCAAGTGTCCACTGAGGAAGACAGGCACTAGCTGGGGCTCTGAAGGAAGCTGTGTCAAGTCGACGACCACAAGAGGCAGATCTACCTGCTCCACCCTGTGGGCAGCAGCGGAAGGTCGTTTCTTAAGCCTGTTTCCTGAACCTGGTCAGCATCTTACAACCTTTGACCTCGTAGAAACAAAGTGGCCACTTCCTGTCTATGCCATCTCTTTAGTAAATCACAGCATACTGTACAGGCAGAAAAATATAATTCACTGCAACAAACAAAGGAAAACTGTGACAAAGGGAGGGTCTAATGTGCAATGATGGCACTTAGACACTTTTGGGCACGCTTAAAAATGTTTGAATATCACTGCATTTGATAAAATAAAACTTAAAAAAGATAACCGCAATTAAATTATGATAAACCTTTTTATTATGATATAATTATTTTTGCAAAATTTTTCATAAATAATTTGTTTGAATATGCAGGACTGATTTTTTTTTCTGTTTTAAAACTAATTGTTAATAAAAAATAACAATTGATCCCTCGATATCTCTTTGCCGCCTTGAAGAATTCTCAGTTCCTTAAAGTGTAAATACGGCCGGGAAGCAAGAAAACACACATTCAAATGTATTCTCAATACTTACATTTATTCATAGATACAAAGATATTATATAGGCATATGT